TTCATGATTTTGGACGACATACTATACCATGACGTTTTTTCATGGTTTTGGGCGACATACTATAATATGACTTTTTTTTCATGATTTTGGACGACATAGTTAACTATGACTTTTTTTCATGATTACGGACTACACACTATACTATGACTTTTTTTCATGATTACGGACTACACACTATACTATGACTTTTTTTCATGATTTTGGTTGACATGCTATACTATGACTTTTTTTCATGATTTTGGACGACATACTATAATATGACTTTTTTTTCATGATTACGGACTACACACTATACTATGACTTTTTTTCATGATTTTGGACAACATACAATACTATGACTTTTTTTCATAGTTTTGGGCAACATACTATAATATTACTTTTTTCCATGATTATGGACGACATACTATACTATGACTTCTTTTCATGATTTTGGACGACATGCAATACTACGACGTTTTTTCATGATTTCGGACGACATACTATACTATAACTTCTTTTCATGTTTTCGGATTACACACTATACTATGACTTTTTTTCATGATTTTGGACAATATAATATACCATGATGTTTTTTTAATGATTTTGGACGACATGCTATACTATGATGTTTTTTCATGATTTTGGACGAAATGCTATACTATACCTTTTTTTTTCATGATTTTGGACGACATGTTATACTATGACTTTTTTTCATGATTTTGGACGACATACTATACAATGACTTTTTTTTCATGATTTTGGACGACATACAATACCATGACTTTTTTTTCATGATGTTGGACGACATGTTATACTATGACTTTTTTCATGATTTTGGACTACACACTATACTATGACGTTTTTACATGATTTTGGACAATATACTATGCTATGACTTTTTTACATAATTTTGGACGACATGCTATACCATGGTGTTTTTTCATAGTTTTGGACGACTTACTATACTATGACTTTTTTTCATGATTTTGGACGACATACTATGCTATGACTTTTTTTCATGATTTTGGACAACATACTATGCTATGACTTTTTTTCATGATTTTGGACTACACACTATACTATGATGTTTTTTCATGATTTTGGACGACATGCTATACCATGGTGTTTTTTCATGATTTTGGACGACATACTATACTATGACTTTTTTTCATGATTTTGGACTACACACTATACTATGATGTTTTTTCATGATTTTGGACGACATGCTTTTCTGTGATATTTTTTCATGATTTTGGACGACATACTATACTATGACTTTTTTTCATGATTTTGGACGACATACTATACTTTGACTTTTTTTCATGATTTTGGACGACATACTTTAATATGACGTTTTTACATGATTTTGGACGACATACTATATTATGACTTTTTTTCATGATTTTGGACGACATACTTTAATATGACGTTTTTACATGATTTTGGACGACATACTATATTATGACTTTTTTCATGATTTTGGACGACATACTATACTATGACTTTTTTTCATGATTTTGGACAACATGCTATACTATGATGTTTTTTCATGATTTTGGGCGACATACTATACTATGATTTTTTTCATGATTTTGTACGACATGCTATGCTATGATGTTTTTCTCATGATTTTGGATGACGTGCTACAATATGACGTTTTTTCATGATTTTGGGTGACGTACTACAATATGACGTTTTTTCATGATTTTGGACACCATACTATAATATGACTTTTTTCATGATTTTGGACAACATACTATACTATGACTTTTTTTCATGATTTTGGACGACATGCTTTTCTATGACGTTTTTTCATGATTTTGGACAACATACTATAATATGACTTTTTTCATGATTTTGGACTACATACATTATTATGACTTTTTTTTATGATTTTGGACGACATGCTATACTATGACTTTTTTTTTTATGATTTTGGACAACATGCTTTTCTATGATGTTTTTTCATGATTTTGGACGACATGCTTTTCTATGATGTTTTTTCACGATTTTGGACGAAATACTATGCTGTGACTTTTTTTCATGATTTTGGACGACATACAATACTTGGAAGTTTTTTTCATTATTTTGGAGGACGTACTATACTATGATGTTCTTTTGTGAATTTGGACGACATGCTATACTATGACGTTTTTTCATGATTTTTACGACATGCTATACTATGATGTTTTTTCATTACGTTTGACAACATACTATACTATGGCGTGTTTTCATGATTTTGGACGACGTGCTATACTATGACGTTTTTTCCTGATTTTTGACAATATACTATACTATGACTTTTTTTGTGAATTTTGACGACATGCTATACTATGACGTTTTTTCATGATTTTGGACGACATCCTATACTATGATGTTTTTTGTGATTTTGGACCAGATACTATATTATGTCGTTTTTAATTATTTTGGATGACATACTATACCATGACTTTTTTTCTTGATATTGCATGACATGCTACACCATGACATTTTTTTTTGTAATTTTTAACGACATGCTATACTATGATGTTCTTTCATGATTTTTGACTATATGCTATAATATAGCGTTTTTTCATGATTTTGTACGACATACTTTTATATTATGACCTTTTTTCATGATTTTTAAGGACATACTATAGTGTTTTTACCAACATACCATACTATGCCAATTTCATGACATTTTTCACAACATACTAAACTATGACAGTTTTATGACATTTTTCATGACATTTTATGCTATGATGATTTATGATATTTTTCACGACATGCTATACCATGGCGATTTCATAACATTTTTCATATCATACTATCCTTTAACAGTAAATCACACTTTTCAGGACATACTATATTATGATGATTTTATGACATTTTTCACGAGAAAAATTACCGTTTTGTCACATTTTTTAAGACTTACTTTACTATGATTATTTTATGACATATTTCATGTTTCTTGTTCCTGAGTACTACTACAGTAAAATACTACTACAAGAACTCTTAAGTAGAGAAAGGAATTCCATAAGGTGGCACTGTTTTCCTTTCTTTCATCCTGAAAGCCTTATTCTGTATGGTTGTTACAGCAGCACTGGGTCATTCTTTTATCCAGCATTACCATTTGAAACAGTCTGCTGGAGACAGTTAGTAAGACTAAGTGGCATTCTTTACTGGAAATGGAAACTTTTAGTTGCATTGCAGCATTGTTTAAGGTTTGTCTTGCACTAATACTGTGGGAGCTACATCACATGACATATGACAAAATCAGTTGGTATGCAAAGTTAATCAAGCGTCACAAAAACATAAATGCAACACCTTATTCTCAAGAACTCAACTGTTGAACTTTCTGCCACTTAAGGGGTGTGGCAATGATTTTATATTAATATTTTTTTCAAATTTACAACTGTTGTTGGCCATGCGCCATATTGGTGTGAGTCATATCCCTCTGAGTTATCTGGAAAAGCTTGTGGCAAGACTTAACTTACCTGTGATTGCGCCAATAAGTCCTTAGCAGACTCATCATCTGGCCTTTTGGTGCCTTGACTTGTTGTTCAGCTTACTTATTAAATATATAAGCTTTCCCCTCCCATTTTTAAACCATCTAGTGTTCTGTAACTTTCAAACAGGTACAATAGCTTACTTCAGTCTTTGCTCCTTCATCTGAACCAATATATGTAAGACTCCTGAGGACCTATTGCAAAATACAAAAAAACACCCACACCTTTAATAACACACAAAAACATTTGATCACTTGATACATTTTAATGCATTGTTATAAATTAAACACTGAAATTCTTCTTGCAAATGTGTCAATCAGCAGTAGCTAATATCCAAATATATAATATATTGTTAATATGATACTGTCATGGTCATTCTGTTGCATAAGAAGTACTTGTTTGATACTCTGAATACAATTCATTGATAAATCTTTGCATTTTGAATATGGGACTTGAATTTGTAGTATAACTTCTACTCGTAAATGATACTTCTTCCAACACTGGCTGATACAAATCAAAACAAGCTTATTGATTAATTTGTTTTTATTTGCTCTGACCAACATTGTGCAAGTTGGACCTTTAGACTATATCAGTATATGTGTCTGCTGACTATGTTGCCACTGGTGAGTAAAAGCTAGTGAAATACACACACACACACACACAGTGAAAGCACACTCAAAATGGTATTTGAACTATGAGGCTAAGAGATCTCAGACTTTTCAAAGGACCATTTGCCAAGTTACAAAGTTATTACATAATAATACCATAACCAAGTAATTATTTGCTAACATGATAAAGGCCATTCTCAACAAGTAGGCCACTCATCGTTATCTTGGTTACTGAGTCATTACATAACACATGCACATGCCTTCTGTAAACTTAACAGAGGATCAAATGACAGTGGTTGAAAACAGGTCAGTCTTTGGATTGTAGCCTATAGGCTCATGTCTGAACATCCAAATACATCCTCAGGAAAAAAAAGTAGGCCATGCTAAAACAGTGTTACAGGCACGTTAGGCAACATTCTGTCATGTGTGAGGCAGCAGGGCAGGTGTGACAGCTCAGTCCCGCAGCATTCGTAGAAACAGGACATGGAGAGGAGCAAAACAGCAGGTGGTCATCCTCGTTTGTTTTCACATGCAGTATGAGAGAAGGAGCACTATTGATGCAGGTGTATTTATTGCTGGGTACTTTATAGTGATCATCACAGCAAAAAAAAACCAACCCAAAAAACAAAAAAACATTCATAATAAATTAGAATTGCAGCTGGAAGCTACATAAAGCAGCACAGATATGGAAAAGCTCTCTTTTTATTTAATTTCCACAACAAGTTATCCTGCAGGAACACATTGTTTCATTATAATTATATTAAGCTTCAGGCACTACCTGACAGACATATTTGAACCAATAGGATTCCACCGTGGGCGTTCCAATTCCAAACCCGCGCTTCCTATTGGTGGTCTGGGTAGACATGGGCGGGGCTAAAGAACCGCTTTACCAAAACAAGCTGTGTGAATCTAGTGACACCGCTAATGAAGAGCTGGGAGCAGGGAAGAAGTCTAACCAGTCTGAAAGTCTGCAGAGGAAAGCGAATGGACCGACAAACACGAACATAAGCAAACAACAGAGACACTGCTGGGGCGTCAGGTAGGGAGGTGTCTGCACATAGCTGTTATTACCACTTAAATATTCGTTTATTGAACCTTTTCAAAGAGCAAAACCCGCATAAGTTGCACGTAAATAGTGGACAAGCCCATACTTGAAGTGAGTAAGCTGATAAGTTTGGTGTTCGCTATAAAAACTTTGTGTTTCTCTTGTTTCTGGCTTCCATTAAATGACCTTGCAATATTTGAGGCCAAGTTATGGACTTATGGAAACAGACACCAGAAAAGGAAGCAGTCTTATTCAGTGGTCTTAGTCATGACATATAAATTTGGACAACTATAAGATGCTACTGTGTGACAAGTCTCCCAAGCTATTCCCATATGTCAAACACAGACAACAAAATAACAAACCATAAGAGAGGTTAAAGGTCAAAGCTTAGCAGAATCAATGCTCTACACTGCAGTGTACTTCCAAATTCACTTAGCGTCTCAGTACATCTGTGTATCACAGAGCCAGCTGTCCATTGTGAGCCTCACAGAGCTGGTATTTATGACAGGGTTGTATCCAGGGCCACCAGAAGGCATCAGTGGGCAGAGCTACTGAGAAAAGTTAAAGGGGGAACTGGAGTAATGATCATGAAGGGTGCTTTCAGACCTAGAGTTGTCTTGCTTTGGTCTGAATCAGGGGCTTATTTTGTTGCCTAGAGTTGGTTCGTGTTCTCACGGCAGCATTTACAAGCGAACCAGATGAAATGCCTTGCATGAGAAAATTCTTGATTGGGAAGAATTTCCATGCAGGAAAAACTATGCTAAAACTAAGTAAACGAACCTTTAAATGTCACAATGGAGGGACAACGATGCAAGTTGAGCTTAGCGCTGGTCATCGTGGACTTTATTGCTGTCATTGTTCATTTTAGGCAAACCATACAGTTTGAAAACATGCTCATGCTTGTTTAACCCAAACAATGCGTAGTGCGACTGCAGTTGGTTCGGATCGTATCGAGGTCAGAGAACATTCTCAGCACAAACAAACTGCACCAGAGTTCGTTTGTAACTGGACCGAGACCACCTCTTCAAGAAGGTCTTAGTCCGGTTGTTTTGGTGCGCACCCTAGTGCCATTGCTGTGTTCACACCTGCCCAAATGAACCGCACCTAGGGGGCAAACAAACTTGAGTTCGATTGAACATGGCAGGTGTGAAAGCACCCTAAAATTCCTTGTGCCAGGATTGGTTTTTGCTGTACTCTGGTTGAAGTAAAAAAATGCCTTACCTGTTGGCTGGTCTTAATTTGGTGTATAAAGAATATCATTTCTAAAGCCATAATAAGATAATAAGTAAGCCATTTTTGGAATCAAAATGAGGAGCACACTGTTCCCTCATGATGTTCCTAGATTCAGTTTAGTTCAGTTAAATTTTTACTTATAAAGCCCAGTATCATAAATCACAATTTGCCTCAGAGAGCTTTACAGCATATGATCCCTAAGCTCCCTCTGTACTTGGACCCTCACAACGGATAAGGAAAAACTCCTGAAAAACTAGTATATATTATAGTCTCCTAAGTCAATGTATGGTCATAATTAGGCCTGATATTTGGAGTTAAAAGTGAGCAGCACACTGTTCCCTCATGTTCCTAGATTCAGTTTAATTCAGTTTTCATGTGTAATGCCCAGTATCATAAATCAAAATTTGCCTCAAGGAGCTTTACAGCATATGATATCCCTCTGTACTTGGACCCTCACAGCGGATAAGGAGAAACTCCTCCACCCCTAAAGAGAAAAAACCTTTAACAGGGAGGAAAAAAAGCCTCAGGACGAGCAACTGAGGAGGGATCCCTCTTCCAGGATGGACAGACGTGAAATAGATGACGTGTCTACAGAACAGATCAACATAATGAAATTACAGTAATACAAATGACAGTATGTGATAGTATACATGTTATATGTATATATTTCTACATGACAGTATATGTATGTGACAATAGTAATTATATGTGTATAATAATGGTAGAAGTATCACCAATAATAATGGCAGTAGAAGGAAGCATCAGGCAGGAACATTGCAGCAGCGCAGCCATGACCCACAATCCAGACACAGCCAATCCGAGCGAAACCTGCTAGACAAGGTAGCACAAAGGCTCCAGGGAAAAAGCCAAGTTGGTAACATGAATGAAAGGGACATGAATGTTTGTGGATGGAAAGAGAGTGAAGGAGAGAGGAGTTCGGTGAATGAAAGGTAGTCCCCCGTCAGACTAGGCCTATATCAGCCTAACTAGGGGCTGGTTCAAGGCAAGCCCGAACCAGCCCTTACTATAAGCTTTATCAAAGACAAAAGTCTGAAGTCTACTCTTAACCGTGGTGACTGTGTCTGTCTCCCGGACTGAAACTGGAAGATGGTTCCACAGAAGAGGAGCCTGATAGCTGAAGGCTCTGGCTCCCATTCTGCTTTTGAAGATCCTGAATTCTTGGAGCACAGTGTTCTGGTGGGGTAATAGGGCACTATGAGCTCTCATAGCTATGATGGAGTCTGACCATTTAGAGCTTTGTAAGTCAGAAGAAGGATTTTAAATTCAATTCTGGATTTTACAGGGAGTCAGTGCAGAGAGGCTAAAACAAGGGATGTACGATCTCTTCTGTCAGTCCTGTCAGTACACGTGCCACAGCATTCTGGATCAGTTGGAGAGTCTTTAGAGGTTTGTTGGAGCAACCTGATAATAAGGAATTACAATAATCCAGCATAGAATAATGATGATTTCTAATAATGTTGCCTCAGGGAAACATATTTAAAGTAAATAGAATTGGTCCAAGCACAGACCCTTGTGAAACCAGAGCCAAAGAACATGCATGCTGCACAAGGATGAAGTAAAACCTCTAGGTAGGGCTGGATATCTGGGTATAATCTTATTTATGTGTTTTGATCAGCTAGTTCTTGGTTTTAGTGTTGTCAAAAACATTGATTTATCAATACATATTGATTATGAGTATTTGAAATGGTTTCAGTACTCATTTATCAAATTAGTATCAAAACGCTGGCACCTGCTGGGCTATCAGCTCTATCTTACTGTAGATGTTCACTACAGTCATTCTGCTGTTCTCCAGAGGTAGAACCAAGTCATTGTTTTGCAAGTCACAAATAGTCTCAAGTCTTTGCACTCAAGTTTCAAGTCCTAAACAAGCCATACTGCACTCTTCACAAAACATAATGCCCAAACAGTAATAATATAATAAATTTACAAAAATCATGAATGTTTCTAAAAATCTGTAGCTAATATTAGCTAAATGTGAAATTGCTAACAATGTTAATATTCGCACGAGCATTTGCCCATATGAAGGGAAATTGATTTGTGGCACACTTTTTAAACAACATAATTGTTTAATCTTTGGGCTTGTGGGAGGGCTGAAGTCCAAGTGAGTCATTGGTGTTGTGGAATATGAGTTGCATGTCTGTTGTGATTTAATTAAGTTGAGTTTAATGTCATCAAAATTGTGTTGAGTCTAATTCCAGTCCAAGTCATGTGACTTGAGTCCACACCTTTGCTGTTATCTTCTACTAACTAAGACTTCGATCAAAAATTCTATTGAATATCGGTATTTTTTCAAAGTATTGTATCAAAGTTGGAAATTCTACTACGATGACAACACCACGATTTTAACAGTCTTAAAAGAGTCATTAACATTTGAGAACTTTTGCTTCTTTTGTCAATGAAAAAACAGTTTTGTAAGAAAACATGTTGATTTATGATCTTCAAAAGTAGGGTACATTTTGCCATACTTTTGGAAGTATGATTTTAGTGTCATATTGGCACTAATAATGAAAACTTTTGAATAGCACTCAGACCTATTAGATGAGAATTAGATTTCTATGTACTTCATCTCCAAACATGTAGGTAGTATTTCTCAACATGGGGCTCAAGACTGGTATGGCAGCATTGCAAGAATTGTCCTACTTCGTATGTAGGACATGACATTCATTTAAAGATAAATGCATAGTTGTTTTTCTCAGGGAAGTATTTCTGCAACATGCATGTCCTTGTGCAAAAGAAGTTGAGTCTGTTAGATGTTTTTGTGTTTATTTTGCAGAATGAATTGAGTTTCTTTGTTTGAATGTGTTGATTTGCATCTGTTTTCCCCAGGCCTACTGTTAGAGGTGGTTGACAATGGACCTCAACAGTGAGACCAAGAGGATGACCTCTTACCTCCCGGGTAACCCCAATGAGACCCAGAAACTGGCCCCACCCAGACCCTCAGGTACACACAGATGCCAGTGACTTTTTTGACTGATAAGTTAACATTTATTTTAATGGGATTACAGGTTTAAGCCAAAGGAATGCAAGTGTGTTGTTTGAGCTTAGGTGTTACTTAGTTTGAATGTTTAGGAAGGGCTTACCTGCTTAAGGTTGGTATAAATGGGCTCCTCCCTAACATAAAACTTTAGTGTACTGAAAATCGATATTTGTTAAAGGCTCACCTGGGGCCTGTTCCAAGAAGCTGTTTGAGTTATTCGGTAACTTTCCAAGTAATAGCCCAATGCAACTCTGGAACTTAGACTGATGTAAAAAGCCCTGCTCTGGGTAACAAAGCAGGACAAAACGCTGAACAAAACATAAAAGTTATCCAGATAACTCAGTAGACCTGATTTTTGAAACTGATATATGAATTTCCAAGATCATTGGGTAATGTAGTTTGCTGCGCTATCAGGTTCTTCACATCAGCTGTTTCTTAAACACTGATTAACGATGAAGCAAAAGTTGTTTATGACAGTTTTCATGCCCATGACCTGGGTCATTCTAACCTTGGGGACATAGCAAAAATGTCTCAGGCACTCATCACAAATTATCTGCCCTTGAATCTTAAAAAACACTCATTCATTACATGTTCATTAAATCAGTTACTGTTCTTCATGTTTGCTATGACCTGAAGAGCTGCCTTCAGTGGGCGTAGGGTTTATATGCTGCCATGCAGTTAAACATTTACAAAGGAAAAATAGTGTCTGAATGAAAGCCTTTCCTGTGCTGAAAGTCAATCAAATTACATTTTTTTACTTGCTAACACTTGTGAAAAGGATTGAAACTGATTTGCTGCACTTACATGGGGAAAATATAAGAGCGGCACCCCACTGTCTAGACAGGTTTTAGGTAAAGTGTGATACTGTCAGACTTGGGTGTGACTGGGATGCATGAAAATGCAAATATGGTGTGAAACACTTGGGTTTCAATGCTCTGTCACTGCTGTATTCAAACAGCTTCAAGTTGACGAGTCATTACAAACCAAGCAACATTTCCCAACAGACAGAGCCTTCTGTCCGAACTCTGCATTCATGTCGTCTGTAATTTTGCGCGTTTTCTGAAAGGTTACGGATATGGACGATCAGTACCACCGGAAATCTTAGGGACAGTGTATCTTAGTTCAAGACACAATCATCGGACATGACAAAGACATATTAAAAATGGTGGAAATTGAACAAATTGGTAATATAATCATTAATCAATAGAATTCTCCATCCAAATGCTACAAGTATTTCATGGCCCCTCAGACCATTGTTGTCTAGAGTGATGCCTCGGTTAAAAGGTGCATCATTATGACATCGTTGCCATGTTTGTTGTGTTCAGACACTTTTAGCCCAGCTCTCTAGTGCTATCTAGTGGATGTATCTATATCAACATTAAGTACGTGGACAGGAACAATTACAATGTTTGAAATGAACATATCTATTTTCATATGTAAAGGGAGTATAAATGAGCCTTTAGACTTTCTCGTCCGGCATTTTGATGAACAGAGTCATAAAAAATCCATCATAATCTATTATTACCTATCATTGTAATTTTTAAACCCTAAAATCATGACATAAACCCTAAAAGTGTTTTAAAATTAAAATGTATTCATGATCTTCTCAAAAATTGGGTCACTATTAGGGAGCACATTTCACAAAAGCAGTGAATGGTCCCCAAACCTTTTCTATCACACTGTTTTCTTTTTATTCCTTTCTATTGCAGTGTCTTTTGAAATAATCTCTTTTATTGCTTTTTTAACCTCTTCCCAAAAATATTCAATTAGACATATTTAATTAGCCTGGAAATCCAGACCCAAATCTAGAAAGATTTAGGGTCTGGCCATGAGTAATGCAAATGGCCCAACTCGAGGGGCGGGGAGGCTGGAGCCTATCCCAGCTGACATTGGGTGAGAAGCGTGGTACACCCTGGACAGGTCACCAGACTATCACAGGTCTGACACATAGAGACAGACAACCATTCACACTCACATTCATACCTACGGACAATTTAGGGTCACCAGTTTACTTTCATGTCTTTGGACTGTGGGAGGAAGCCGGAGTACCCGGAGAAAGCCCACACTGACACAGGGAGAACATGCAAACTCTGCACACTCCACACAGAAGGGCTTAATTGTTCTGTGACAAAGCACAAGTTTAAAATGTTGCATGACAAGTTTATTTCCAGAGTACTCTATCTAAATCTTTTTTTCTTAATGTTTCAGAAAGTACCCAAAATAGAAATGAGACTGCAAGATGATAACACTGTAGCTGAAAGACTTACTACAAGAGATTACAGTCTGACATTAACTATTGTTATCTCATTATTACATAATGTCAGTGGAAAAGGACTGAGAGAGGGGATGCAGTGCAACAGTCAAAGCAAATGACTTAATAGGACCCTGCAGTTTGCAGCTGTGTCTCTGTTTTTCTTGCATGCTGCGCCATCATGAGAATCACATTACAATAAAAAGGAAAAAGGCCCACTAGCATGATTATTTTGACAGTTGCAATGAAATACCTCGGCAGGCCCGCCATCAGAGGGGGTCAAAGGGTTCAGATGACCCCGGCCCAAGGCCAAAGGGGGGCCCATGAAAAGGTCTATGGTTAACCCTTAAATTGGATCAAGTACAACAATTTACTTACTGACTTATATCATTGACAATGCAAGTTCTGGGTATGACAGGCAGAGCTGAAGGTGAAGAGTGAGGCAGAGTAATTTTTAGCAAATAAAACCTGCTGTATCGGGCTCAGTTTTAAAGTAACAGTGAAGACACTGGTCTAGAGCCCTTTTTAAACAGGAATGGTGCAAATTTGCAGGAAAGCCCAATCAGTCTTCTTTCAGCATTGGCAGTATAAAAACGAAATCGGGGAGTGCAGCAAACTACCTACTTTCGTTTATACAGAATGTGCCTTATTTGGGGCAATGGGGGGCGTGAGCAAGTAACAAAACGTGTAGCTCCTTCGGCAATTCTCTCGTAAGTTGGCCCGTCCTTCACCGTTCCCATCATCTGACGGTTAATGGCCTCTTCGTTTGCGAGGACAAGGAGGGCGTGCAATTCTTTGTCTCCCCAGTTGCTCATCTTTACAGTGTCTGTCAGTTTTGCGTTTCCCTCTTGCTACTAGCTGCTCGCTAATTCCTGCTATCAGCTGTTTCCTGTTTATCCACCGCCAGTTGGTCGCATGTGCAGGGTCAACACTTCCTCCCACAAGTCATCAACAGCCCCTCCCATGGCGGAAGGCCGCCTTGTTCTGTTTAAACCATAAAGGTTCCGCCAGGAACGAGGTGGAAAATTGGGCACCTCGGATCAACTCGCTAATCCGGCTCTGTGTGTTTAAACGCTCACAGCTTGCCGGCAAAACGGCCCAACATTCGCCGAAAATCTGGCAGTGTAAAAGGGGCTCAGAGCAGTGGTTCCCAACTGGGGGAATCACAGTCCAAATGTGGACCACGGGTCCATTCTGAATGGACCACAAGTGACTCATGAACATGTGAAGTTTGTAAAAACTGGGACCTCTAACAGGATAAGCGGTTACCGAAAATGAACGAGTGAATGAATTATTTTATTGATGATTTAATACCTTGCAGTAATTTCCTCTGTCAATGTTTGATTTTACTTTTCTCTAATCATTTATTGGAAGGCATGGTTTTGGCACAGGACACATGTGACTACCTCTACGTCTCAGAATAAGAAAACAATGTCTCAACACGGAGTAGATACAAAATACATGGAAATATGATTAATTGGATTATATTCGCAGGAAGTATAAAAATGTGTGGGTGGGTGTGTAGCCTTGCATTTAGCCCACAGTCCGTTATAAAACAAACTAAGCAGATTCAAACAATAACATAAATTCAAGTGTGGTCTTGTTTACTCAAAGCTGTTAAAGGAAAAATGCATGTCAACAGCAACACTGCAGTAAAACAAACTATTACAAGGATCAATAACGAAGAAGTTTATGACTGCTCGTAAAAAAGTTGACTATTAAAACAGTTTTGCTCATCAGTTTCCATTCATTCAGATTTGTTTCCATTTGCTCACAGTGATACCTGTGAGACAAAGCATGTAGCCCTCCTACACACACACACATGCACACACACATGCACACACACATGCACACACACATGCACACACAGTAACTTACAACATTGCTTCAGCATTCTTCTTGTGAACTTCCGACCTCTAATTCCACACAGTCAGCACTGCGAAGGCGCCTTCACAGTGGGGGGATATCTGCAGGGAGAGAAGCTGTGATCCTGATAAAAGTCATGACATGCAGTTCTTTAACATGTATTACAATATGTTTTATTTACTACGACTGTGGACCTCGACCTCTGGCACTTTCATTCAGCAATTTTACAAGTGCCATGTAGTAGTCATCAGTGATAAGTGACAACAGATTATGATTTGTTTGATTATTTAATCACTTATTTGGCTCCGTCAACTGCTTAAAGTCCACAATTCTGATATTACAAACCTATATACCTAACACTGAACCTGTTACTGTCCTTTTACTTTATACTTGCACTTACCTTTTGGAAAAAGTAGATTAACCAAACTCACTCTAATAACAATGTTTCTACATTAAACCTTCCTCTGCAGGGGACTACATATATACTACTTACCTTTATACTTACCTGCAGTGCTTTCTGTCCAAAAGCCAGTTTAGAATTTGGTTAAAAATGATCTTGAAAAGGTCTTACCAAACATTACATTTTAGCGCGGTGGTTTGTCAAGTAGAAATACAGTATCCATGTTTGGCCAAATACCAATGTCCACCCTATGGCTCTGATCACACAGAAAGAGTTTTGCAGGTTGCATTTTTTATAATTGAATAACACTAGTAAAAAAAAAACGCCTGTTGCTAGTGCCCTGCACGGGCCTATTATCTGGGCCCGGGCCCGGCCCTGGCCCGAGGGGGTGGAGCCCCAGCCCGGCCCGGCCCGACAGGTTTTCAGAATTCTCATGCCCGAACCCGATAAAAAGCCCGACTTTTTTTTTTTTTTTTTTTTTAAAACCTCCCATAACAACATGTAGGCTGTTAATGTTGCAGACATTAAAATAGTTTAATTGGGGTTTCTAGCATGGTATTAATCTATATTCATTATATTTTGATTTAAAGGATAAAGTTAAATATGAATTTATTTAACTTAATGACTGTATTCTCCTATTTAGTGAGAATTGTCAACTGTTGCTGCGCACTGTTGCAGTTGCATCGCGCACAGTCACTTCAAAAAACAAAATCATTAATTAAACAACCCCCAAAATGCTTCAAACACTTTTCTAAATAATCTTAATATTGATCTTAATACTGCAGTGAATGTTCTGCTGTAACGTCAATGTTCTGTGAGCGGGGTGCGAGAGTGACGAGGATGAGGGCTGTGTGAGTGCGCGTGCTTGTGTGTGTAGAGCGAGCTGGAGGAGAGAGCAGCAGTGCATGGTTCGAGTTAACGTTACAGCTAAGTCCTTGTTTTGTGGCTGGTTTGGCGTAGTTACGGCAACTGTTCAGTAACAAACAATGGTTTGCCGAATAACCGCGTCATCCTTCCACACGTCTTGGCGGACGCTACAATATGATGAGTGACGTGCAGCGGAGAGGGAGAGGCACAGCGGCAGCTGCGTTCAAGTGTTGCCGTTTAAAGCGGTTAAACACAAACACACACCTCTCTAACTGGCAGGTTAAAAAAAAAGCCCGAGCCCGGCCCGTGTTCGAGGTAATGATGTAGTAATTGGCCCGAAGCCCCCCTCGGGCTGTTGGGCCGTTGGGCCCCTCGGGCCTCGGGCTCCAGCGCAGGGCTCTACCTGTTGCGCCTTTTTAGTGTTGCCAGGCAACCACCCCATCACCTCCTTACACTTACCTTCCTCTGTCTCAAATCTCAATTTCACAGTAATTAGTCGCTAGTCCCTAAAATGTTGAGGCAGAGGGTACTTGCTGTAGCTCTGGTTGAGGGTGAGAGGCTGTCAGCAAATACTTTGTTGGGCACAGGGAAACAGAGATCTGTGTGGGTACATGCGACCCTAAGAAGAGGGTGGATCACGGGGAGAAACCACCAGTTGGTCCAGGAGCTTCGCCTCCATGATGGCTGTTTCCAGGCATATTTTAGGATGACTCAGGGGCAGTTTGACAATGTGCTGTCAATCGTCGGCCCGTATAGCTCTGGGTATCTGGCAACCGCTAGTTTTTCCAGTTTCTCCACCAGTTTCTCCTCCATTTTTTACAACACAACCACAGAAGGCCCGCCTCTCAAATCATCTGATTGGACAATGGGGGGAAAAAAACATGAAAAAAGAGATGGGGTTCAGTGTGCTCTGGCAAAAGGGCCAGATGCCTAGAGCGCAAAAAAAGTGAGGTGCAACCAAAAAGCTTCATTATCATTAAACACAATTACAAAAAGTCAGGGTGCTCAACCCTAACAAACTTTAAATGACATCATTTGCGTGACTAGAAGCTCAAGTAAAGACACAGGCAAGGGCTCCGATACACATTTGGAACACAATAAGTGCCTTGTGTATTATAACTAACGTTGAAAAATGTGAACACAGATCTGGGAGATCTTGTGGATGGACATTGGGACCAGGCCTCTTGCAGGGTATCTGTGATCTTACATTCTCTAACTCCTTCTCCTTGTGTGTTTCTGTCCCTCTCCAGGCTGCAGCTGGCTGGTGGTGGTAGCGGCTGTAGCGGCCTCTCTGAGCGGGCTGATGCTGGGCTATGAAATGGGCCTGACTTCTGGAGTCCTGCTACAGCTGCGGGGTCTCCTCTCCCTCTCCTGCCGGGAACAGGAACTGCTGGTCAGCTCCCACCTGCTCGGCGCCCTCCTCATGTGCCTGGCCGGCGGCCCCATTCTGGATCGCTACGGCCGCCGCTGCTCTTTGCTCCTGAGCGCCGCCCTGGTGGTCGGCGGGAGCGTCGTGCTCATCGCAGTCAACTCACTTATTGCACTCACACTGGGCCGGGTGATAGTCGGCATGGGAACGGCGCTGTCAGGGACAGGAGCGTGTCTGTACATTGCAGAGATCTCACCAAGGGAGAGGAGGGGTCAGCTGGTGACGCTGTACGAGCTGATGCTGGTTGTGGGTGTAATGCTGGGATTCAGCTGTAGTTACGCCTTTGCTACTGTGCCCCATGGCTGGGCATATACATTTGGACTTGTAATCCCCCCGGCGCTGCTGCAGATCAGTGTACTCCTGTTCCTCCCACCCAGTCCGCGCTTCCTGGTCACTCAGGGTAAAGTGGAGAAGGCCAGGATAGTGCTCGCCACAATGAGAGGGGGGGTTCAGGAGCATGTGGAAAAGGAGCTCAGAGACATCCAGGCAGGACTGAAAGAGGAATCAGAGCATAGTTTCTGGGAATTGTTCAGCACCAAAGCCAACTTGCGTTCACGGCTGCTAACAGGTGTGGCCTTAGTCTTCCTTCAGCAGGCTACCGGTCAGCCGAACATCCTCTCCTATGCGTCACCGCTTCTCCGCAGTGTAGGCTTTAACAGTGACGCGGCAGCAACCTTGGCCTCTACTGGGTTCGGAGTGGTCAAAGTAGTTGGCACCATCCCGGCCGTGTTGCTGGTTGACCGCGTAGGACCCAAGAGCTTTTTGTGCATTGGTGCTGTCGCAATGGGAATGTCGCTAGTAGTACTTGGTACACTGACACTGCAAAACCACACTCACCTCACCAGCCTGTGTAAAAGTGACTCTATACTAAACCACACAGAGGCGCCGTGGGATTTAAACAGAACCTCTATAGACTTGTACGACAGTGACATTTTTTCTACTGACCTCCCCAGCCAGTGGGGCAGCGAGGAGGCACAGCGGACTTACAGAGAGGGTGATTGGACTGGGGAGTCAGGAGGAGGAAGGACTAATGGAGAAGTGTCTTCCGTACTGAAGTGGGCGTCATTGATCAGCTTGCTGGTTTATGTGGCAGCCTTCTCAATCAGCCTTGGGCCAAGTAAGCACCCATTCAGTACTCACACACTCCTTTTGCACACACACACAAAGTTGATAACATTTTCACAAATTTGTATTACTAGTTGATAGCCAAGAGGAGAGTACCAAGCAGTGCACTGTATCTGCACTACAGAGCAGAAAGTATGACCCATAGTCGCTCACAGGAACTTTAATGGAAAGGACGGCCATTTTCAAAATTCATACATGTAATTCCTATGGTCAGAGATGGTCCAAAAATATTCGTGAACAACTCTCTACAAAATCCAAAAACAAGAGTGCTAAAACTCATATTTGTCATGTCATCAAGTATAAGGTCTGGAGATGCTCCATAAACCACTGGTTCCCAACTGGTCCAGCCATGAGGTTCAGATTTGTCCTGAGTCATCAGTTTAAGGTCCACTGGTTTAAAATATTCAGCGTCATACTTGAGTTTGGCCATGTCGTCACGCTAGTTGTTGTCTCTGTTAAGTAGCTGTCTGTTATCCACTCACTCCCCCAACTTTATACTCTGTGTCATCACAAGTTTGAATTTACCATTAACATTTTGTTAAAGTTTGAATTTGTACAAAATTAAAGGTAGGGCCAATTTAAGTGACGTCAGCTCCACCCTTGCGTCCAAATAGGGTCACCTCTGGCTACGGAAAACTAAGATGGAGATGGCAGAAATGCTGAACTTGAAGCTACAAAACTGCAGTCCACAAACTAATAGGTAACATTACGGTAGCTACGTCTAATATTGCACACAGTCTGTTGCTGTGACGTTAGGTACGTTTATTGCACTTATACGTGTTGGAGGTTGTTTTTTTCCCCCGAGTTTTGAGTACAATGGATTACAAAGTTACTTCTCAGGTTTCTGGCTTTAAGATAGTCGCTCATGTTCGCAAATATTGAATGACCTTTCCTAGACCATGAAAATAATATACCGAAATTCTTAATTTAGGTGGTGTAAAAGTTTAGATAATTTGTCTGGTTGATATGGTTCTAACAGCTGCAGCTTATAAACACGTCGTACTGTGAACTACAAAGTACAACAAAGGTTATCACACAATAACTATGCCTAGGTAAAGTGTACATAAACGCTCCAGTTCCCCAGATAAAGCAATGAGGACCCTGACTCTAAAGCCTCACATGACTGAAAACTCCCCACGCAATATTGACAAAATTGTTTAAAGCCAGTCTGGATCATGTTATTTGTATTTATACCTTAATAACCATGCCTTCGTATGTCCCTGTGCACACTGAATGTGTCTTTGTTTTTTGTCTTTCCAGTGGTGTATGTGGTTCTCAGTGAGATCTTTCCAATGGGGGTCAGAGGCAGAGCTGTATCTGTTGTGTCGGCTGTAAACTGGGCCACTAACCTGCTCATCTCCATGACCTTCCTCACAACTACAGGTGTGTATGTGTGTGTGTGTGTGTGTGTGTGTGTGTGTGTGTGTTATCGGATATTATTGATGATATGTGTGTTCAAGTTATTGTGGTAGAGCTGTAAATTTACAGAAGCTGTCAACTAGGGCAAGACGTAAATACAAAAACTAGTAGGTCAAAAAAGAGGTGTGTCTCACCTTTCCCTGCTCCTGGTCAGTCAGACTGCCCACCTGTTGTCGAGTCATAATACAGTCGGATTAGCAGAAGAGAAAGATGACACCTAAAACAGTTTGTCACTATGGGTTTAGGGTTTAGCAGCAACTGTATGCTAGTGTCATGACCTGATGTGTCAATCATTCTTATCTGTGACACACAAGTATGTCACCTGAGGTTGTGTGTGGGCATTTGAGGTCATGCATCTTTTTTTTGCTATTGTCTTTGTTTTTTAGAAAAGATTGGCGTACCCAATGTGATGTTCCTCTACGCTGCCATGAGCTTTGTCCTACTGGTGTTTGTCATCCTCTGTGTCCCCGAGACAAAAGGTCGCACGCTGGAGGAGATATCAAAGGAACTGGCGAAGAAGTGGGTGGCAGCCTACGCATGACCTTAAAGGGATAGTTTGTATTGTTTAAAATGGGACTGTATGAGGTACTAACCTGTAGTCAATAGGGCTGCCCCCCGATAGTCGACCAAACGTTAGTCAACCAGAAAGGTCATTAGTCGGCAAGATTTCATTAGTCGCAGGAAAAAAACAAACATGAAACTCTATCAGAAGCTGTGCCTTGTCAAAATAAATCAAAACCTATATGACTGGACCATGTGGGAATTTAATTTGAAAGGACAGACACAGGAAGTGGCCACACTCAGCAGTCAGACAGGAGTCAGGTTAATTTCCACGGCTGGTACCTGCGGTTATTCCACAGGCTAGTTAATAACATGTCAGGCAGGAAATCCAAAGTGTGGGATCATTTTGAGAAGGTGAAGGATGAACCCAAGGTGATATGTAAACTCATCTTCATTGGTCGACTACAAACATGACGTATCATCTGAAACATGGAAGTAGCTACATGCCCATTAGCCCACAGCGTCATTAGCAGGCGGCTCGCTCAGTGTGTGACGTGCACTTGTAGATAAAATATAGACCTATATTAATGAAGGTTCATTAGTACGGTTTTGTATTTCTCTGTAATGTAGCACAGTGTTAACAATGTTACTGATACTATTCTTTCTCACACCTTCAACTCAAATCATTGTGTTGCCCCGCCCAAAATATATAAGTTAATAATTAAATTAATATCGCAAAATTGCAGGTGACTAATCGACTAATGGCCCTAAATGATGACTATTGTTCGACTGGGAAAATTCTTCGTTGGGGGCAGCCCTAGTAGTCAGTGGATTAAGTATAGTAGATGTCTGACGGCATTCCTCCAATTTGTAGAAGGGCAGGAGTGCCGACGCAGAAGCTAAGCAATGTAAGATAAGATAAGGTAACACAGAACTTATCCTGAGGAAAATTGCTGTGCAGCAGTTGCAATTCAAGTTAGAAGAATGTAGATACAAAGCATGCAGTATACTAAATATAAACTAGCTCACAGTAAGCTTCAAAATATAAGAACTAAAAATTACGAGGGCAGCAGCAAAACGTATTTTAGCCACCCAAAAATAAAGTCAGTAACAGTTTAGATGCACGCTACATCGAGAGTATTTTCAATACTTTACCTTTCTGTCAGACAGCCCGTTCTGACAGGGAAGCTGTTGACAGCTCCAGACTCCAGTGACACAAACAGTCATTTTGGCCTGCTGAACATGGGAGCTGTTGATCTACCACTGCCTCAATCACTTAGTCAGTTTGTGTTATTGTGTGACTTTGGTGAATCCAAACTAACCCCTTAAGGGTGCTTTCACACCTGCCCTGTTTGGTTCGGTTCAATCCAATTTAAGTTCTTTTGCCCCCTATGTGCAGTTCATTCAGGCAGGTGTGAACACAGCAATCACACTCAGGTGCGCACCAAAACAACCGGACTGAGACCTTCTTGAAGAGGTGATCTCAGTCCGATTACAAATAAACTCTGGTTTGGTTTGTTTGTGGTGAGAACGTGTTCCGACCTGGATCCGAAAGACAACTACAGTCGCATTATGTAAGCAATATAGTCCATGATGACCAGCGCTAAAATCAACCTGCGTAGTTGTCCCTCCATTGTGACATTAGAAAGCGTCACATTTATCTTGCAAGTGTACTCTTCTTCAACGTTTTGTTTAGCCTACTTCTTGGATTTTTCCCCACATGAAAATTCTGACCAGTCAAGAGCAGCTTTCTTGCGCAAGGCATTTTATCTGGTCCGCTTGTAAATGCTGCCGTGAGAACACGAACCAACTCTAGGAAATTCTAGTCCCTGATTCGGACCAAAGCAAGACAACTCTATGTCTAACTAACTAATTGAGGCAGCGGTAGACCGGCAGTTTCTGTGTTCAGTGATGTTAAATCACTATTTTTCTCAATGGAGTCTGGGTTGCCTGCTTCTCCAAACTGGGGTTGTACCGCCAGGCATCTACTGTATGTAATATATTGACTATGGATTAGGACCTCATACAACCCCACTTCAAGTAGATGTGAATTATCCCTTTCATGTTATCCATCTTGTATCTAGTAAACTAGCTTGTGAAATGGTTTTCTTTATCTTCTGTCTCTTTTCTCTGCTTTACTAGGAAGCATTTTGAGGTGAGGCTCTGCAGGCAGGTTCAGCCTCAGGAGAGTCTGATCAGCAGCACGTCCGCAGGACTTCCAGCAAACGTCTGACCTATTTTTTTTTTTTTTTTTTGACACATCACAACCATTCACCTCACCTGAAAGAGAGTCGAGAGCGAGGATCAGGAAGGACAATGTATTAGCACTGTTAAGAATTTGGGGTACAGCTCCACATGTGTACGTCCCTGCAGCTCAAGCTGATTGCTGTTATGGTGTCTGTGTCATTTAGTTCCTTCAAGCTACATACTGAATGTAAAGGAACAAATCATCAGGATAGCAATTACATACGCAGGAAAGAATTAAATAATGGAAGTATTTGTGAATTTGCTCAAATTAGGATATCTCAGGGTTCACTCTTGCTTATTAAAAAGACGGTAAAGAAAAGTAAAAAATGGGGATTGAATATGTGATTATATGAAATATATATTATTTATTTAATTCCTTCCTTTCTTTACCTCCTCCGTCGTTACAGCTCCAGTAATGCAGGAAGAGACATTTCCCTTAACTCCAGGACACAGCTGACTTTTTTTTTTCTTTCATTTTGACCTGACATTGTGAATCTAAGATGTACCAAATAATCAGACACTAATCACGTCAAATGTCTGTGTATGTAACATTCTTTGGATTGCAAATTAATTCCTTAAACATGACATTTATGTGCTGTTCCCTGTCATATGTAATGTAATGACACTAATGTGGCTCAAACCAGTCGTACCAGTTAGGCTGAGTGTCCAGATAGCATTTTCTTCTGGCTGAGGACACAAGCGCCTTTCTGAAAGGTTCAGGGATTTTCGACAAGAAGTGCTCGGAGCAGCCAACAAAAAAGTTTGAGCGCTCTGAGAAAAAATACAGGTGCTCAGAATACTAGAGTTACCGCCTAGTGGTTGCATTTCTCAACCAACCAGTCAAGTTGCAGTTTTCATTCATCTTTCCAGACCATATGTTGCCATGACAGCAGACGGTGCTTCAAATATGGATGTTGCTGCTGAAAAGCTGAATATTCTACAATAGTGGTTCCCAACTGGTGGGTGGCGGTCCAAAAGTGGGTGGCGTGTCCATTCTGAATGGACCGCAAGTGGCACAAAGCTTTGATTTTGAAGTGCTATTTCCTGTTGTAGAGTGATTGACTGACGGATAGATACTTGAGAGAGACGGCAAACTAACTCAACACCATGGCCGAACACAAGTGTGTCACTGAATGTATTAAGTTGTGCGGACCTTGATCTAATGATTAAGAAGAAATCTGGACCCTGGGTATGGACCAGTTGGGAACCACTGTTCCACAGTATCAATCACCATAGTTTCAAGGTGGGCACCCACGATTAGTGTTGACCTTTGATCTTCAGGATATAAAACGTCATCACTTAATTTTATGCTATTGCACATTTGTGGGAAAGTTGGTCCAAAATAGCGTATTAAAGCTTGAGTTATGGTCAGAAACTGGTCACAGTGACCTTTGACTACCAGAATCTAATCAGTTCAGGGTTGAGTCCAAAGCTGTGTCTCAATTCAGGGGCTGCAGCCTTCGAAAGCTGCATTGGAAGACCAATTGTGTCCCATCGGCACGAGCAAGGCTGCCTCATTTCGAAGGCTCCTTCAAAGGCAGCCAAGAAATGCAGCCTTCTTTCCGAGAATTTCGAGGATGCAACAGATGAATCCTTCGTGGTCCAGCCTATCTCAAGATGCATTACGCATAGTTGTATACTAGCTAACGGTTAACTGTTGTTAACATTACTATTAGCTAAAAGCACACAGCTTAATCATTCTGAATTTTATACGTTTACCTGAAAACGGTCTGTCAGCCTAAAATATATCAAACGGCGGTGTTTCCGGCGGTGAATCATCTCAAGTATTAAATTAAAAAAATATGTATATAATAACAATCTCTGGGTCCATGATTTAGGGCTAACTAATTTACTACCTTACTCCTTTCGTCAAGCGCAGCTTGGTGCTAGGTAACAGTAGTGCCAACTGGTCGGGGAGAGAACAACTGGTGATGCAACCAGGATATCCTCTGCAGACCAGACTGTCCCATTTCGGAGACTGTTCGGTTTGGCTGATGCGTTCTTCAAAGGATGTGGCCAACGTCGACCACGAAGGCCGCGTCCTTCAAAGGCTGCAGCCCCTGAATTGAGACACAGCTCAAGTGGACATTTGTGCCAAATTTGATGAAATTCCCTCAAAGCATTCTTGATATATCGCTTTCATGAGAATGGGACTTTTGGATGGATAAACCGAAAACACAATAATAGGTAGGAAACACAGGTAGGAGCACAGTTTAATCTATAAGGTTAAAACGTTCAAAAATATTTTGTATGTATATATTTGAAAGAGAAATCTGAAATCATTGATCACATTTTTCAGTAATCAAATTGCATTTTAAATGCCACCAAATGCGTTGCATTTTGCACCACACATTATTACAACATGTCAAGAACTCATTGAATAAAAGTTAACAAAAACATGTATTGAAAACAACAATCTTAGGAGAGGAGTCTAGTGTTTTTTAGGCAGAGGACCCCTTCACTCATTTAAAGTATAAAACTTAGATGCATATTAAACCGGGCAGTTGCAGGGTGTGCTTCAGGAGGCCATATCAGCCTCAAGCTGCAGTCTTAACCTGTATTTGCTTTTCAGGTAGATGAAGGAAATTAAGTTGCTGCTGATTCATATTCATGTATATTTTCAGATATATTTTAATTTTGAAAAGAAAAATAAGGTTCAATAAATCCTTAAAAAATGATGTAGCAGTCCCCCTGCAGTAACTCTGAAGATTCACTGGGAGTCCTGGATTCTCTGTTGCAGACCCAGGATTTAGGAAGATGCATCTCTAGGAAACATGCGTGAATATAACAACAGTATTTTCAATGGGTGAACGCAATTAAATAAATAATTGTAATAGCAAGTTAAACCGACCAGTATTTTTGATGTGACTAGTGACGGTAGCTTCGTTTAATCGACTAATCCCTAGTGGATGACAAGAAGGCATAAAAACACTATGTGGACACTCAGCCTTGTGCAAAACACACTGTAACCCACACACTGACAGAAATATAGATGAAGTAGTGACAGTAGTCTTAGAGTAGGAAGAGCTGGTTTATATTTTATGGGAACAAGCAATCAGGAAAATGATGAATTAACAGGCTCGGTTTATTTTTTACGCCTGGCTGCTGAATCCTCAAGCAGACAAGCAGATAAATATTTAACAGAAATAAAGTAGGTAATATAACAACTAGTCCTGTCGTTGTGTCAGAAGAATTGTGAAAAATTGTTTTTTTTAAAAAAAAAAAAAACTTGTGTCAGTGATACTAAAATTATATTTAGGTGATTAACTAGTGGGATGTTTTAATGCAAGAAAGAATGACTTATGTGAAACTGTTCACAATTAAAAATTGCACATTTTTAAATCTTTACGTTAGTTATTCCTTTTTTTCATGTTAGAAAATGTAGAAATGTACATGCAACGTCTGTCATAACCATTGAAAGTGCTTCACACTAAATCAATCAGGACATGCATACACACCAAAAGGAAGTTGTGAACATGTGAGTAAAACAAACTGAACAATAGTCCCGTGGTGGCCTGTTTTACCATGAACCTTTATTTTTATACAAAATACAAAATTCTGAACAAGTGTCATAAATTTCAGTCGACACCGGTCAAAGGTTGAAACGTGTCAAACCAACATCTTCTCCATCAGATGCTAATATTATATACATACATCTATGTTGCCTGTCACTAGGGTTTCCATTTAAAACACGTAACCGTGTTTTTTTTGTTGTTTAAGTGAACGATATTCTGTGAAGGGTTTTGTTTTTCAGACAGTTCAGGCACTGGCTAATGCTGCAAGCGTGGCCTCTTTGAACACTGTGTTGCTTCAAAAACTCAAATGAATGTACTGCTAAATGTCTTGATGAGTTAACTGCAATACTACTGAATGATTTAAGTGAATGGCTGCTTTTGTAATTATGAGTTCTTTACTTAAAGGAGCAGTGTGTAGGATTTATAGGATTTAGTGGCATCTAGTGGTGAGGACTGCAGATTGCAGTTAGATAAAATTTCTCCCATGTGCCAAGGATTAGCTCCCGGTTAGAATTCCTTCAGTGTTCGTTGTTCAGGAGGTTTGTACCAGGAGCTGGATTATCCACAGAGGTGTCTTCCTCTCCGAAATGAATGGACAAAATGTTTAAAACTGGTAAAAAAAATACTGAATAAAGCAGTTTCACATTAAAAATCAGCGTTTTTTCCGATGCCGCTAGGTTCGGGCAGATGAAAAACGCAAATGGCCCTAGAGCCAGTGTTTGGTTGTCCATTCTGATCTACTGTAGAAACGTGGTGGTGCCATATGGCGGTCTTTGTAGACAAGGACCTTCTCCATGTGTAGATATCAGAGGCTCAAGCTATGACTCTTATTAGGGTGATTTAGCACTAAGGAAAACATACTTATTATATTCGATTTCTGCCAACATATCCCCCTAAATCCTACACACTGGGCCTTTAAACTTACAGTCCTCTTCGTAATTAGTTTCTCCTACATTGTCCTGTTTCTTTACAGCAATTTCCAAGACCAATTCTCGACAGTGTTCGTAGCTTCATTCCCACGCTACTCAAAAAGCTCATTGAATGCCTTGCCTTGTCTCAGCACCATGAAAGCCTGGGACTAAATAACCAGTAGCTGTGTTCATTTAAAGTGAGTGAGGGGTCTATGGCTCAACGTCGCAACACCTGAAGAAAAAAAAAAAACACACACATACCTGAACCCTTCAGAATTTTTCATCACATTCCAAAGCATTAAGGATGTCCATTTTGTTCTGTACATTGTCCAGCCTTGGAAACAGTTCCATATTTGACTTGTGTTAGAAAATGACAAGGTATTAAATCATACACGTGTGTGTGTGTGCATTCTGAGCCAATGCCACAGTTAAGAAACAAGAAATTTAAAGTGAAGTGACAACTAAACTTACGTAGCGAAATGTGAGAAACCATAGACTGTATATAAAGACGACCGCCCCCTCCATGTTAGCAGATGGGACATGGGCCAAACTAAAATATCAAAGTACACGTCAAATAAATTTTCTCCAAAGATGGTTTGTCATTTTAGGTGGCTCTTAACACGCTGATGTATGTTCAAGTGTTTTTCAATCATGATTTGATGCTTTAAAGGAGGGTGTGACATCATGATTGACAGCTGTGTGTACCAACTGGTGTGCTGGTGGTCGGACGGGTGAATGGCTGGGAACTCAATACTACGGACACTGTCTCCAGCACAAGATGGCAGCGGCCATGTTAGGAATATTCTGGGAGGAAGTGGAGATGTGTCGTCCATCTTTATAAACAGTCTATGTGAGAGACCAACAATTAAAGTCAGAGATTAATGCATATTGTGAGCAACATCTGCATAACAGTCCAGACTCTACAGTCTATGGTTTTACTGCTGTTTCTTGTTTTGTGGCCAACACAGTGGACACCTTGTATTTGCATTAAAATGTCTACAGTCGAGCCATGGACGGAGATTCTTCTTGAGAAGGAAGCAATGGGACAACTTCTTGTATACAGGATATAGGTGAGGCCGTTTAGTGTTAGCATACCGACTCTCCGCGATGGGCTCGCAACTGTTAAGCATTAAAATGGTTAATGTTTGTTGAAAACTGGTCTTTCTGCTAATTAGGAGCGAGAGCAGATAACTTCCACCCTCCTCAGTGTCAGTCAGGTTAGAAGGAGTGGTTCCCGCTGAAGGATACGATGCCTGAAGACGTACTTGCTGTTAAAATCACAAGAGCCACACAATCCACGACAACACTGACGTTTTGTGAGAGGGAAGTTTTTAGTCTCCATCTAGGGTCGTTGAGGAATTTTTTTTAAAAAATCCAGGTGACATCAAGCCCGTTGACGTATGTTAGAAGTTCGTCACTGTTGCCGCTCGGTGATAAAATCAAGCAATTAAATCCAGGGTTAAGGTGCTTCCTCACTTGTAACAAACAAATCCAACGTGCCTTCTCTTTCATTTGCAGAGGGGTTTCTGACACTCGAACAGAAGCGGGTAGACCTGCTCAACAGCCGTGGCCACATTCTGCACATTTGGTCCTGGATGACAGGATGGAGAAGAGCGGGGTGGGGTGAAAGCAAAGGAATAAGCTTTGACTGCAATAAAAAACAGCACCTCACCTCCACATGCAGACAAATTGAGAACCACAACAGGTGTTTGGGTCTAGTTTCGCCCCGGGCATGACATACAAAGAGGGCATATTTCACCCTGAGTAAAATTCCTTGAGGAATTAGGTTACTTACAAACAGCTTTTCTGGTTGTAACAGACTATAAAAGGGCATTACAACAACTTGACCCCAATCCCTTAAGCTGGTGTGCCCTCTAGCTGTATGTAAATAAGCGCAAGAGAGGTCCGTGTGTGTATATGTGTGTGTTATGCAAAGTACCTGTAACTGTGATGCTGCCAGTGGAGAACACCTGGATAGTGGCCTTGATGTGTTTGATCCTGTACGTGGCAGCAGGATGGAGCTCTGGTTCATAACTGGCAAACAGAAACAAACACATGGTGAAGTGCTGATCACTGAAAGGTTTCAGCTCATATATCTGAAAACACACACAGCTTTGAGAGTGTTTTACATGACGCCATATGCTGTTGCATAAACAAGTGAATCACAGGCTGACTACACCAACATCTTCTGTCTGCTTGTGGTGCCAAATGCATACTGAAGCGCTGAGCAGGGCTTCCACCACTAGAGGTCATCCTGTCCTTGCAAATATCACATCACTATCAGTAAAACATTTTAAACAACAGGGCTATTTACATCATGATACATGCTTTGAAATGTCTCAGGCAAAAGTGAATCAAGCTAAATGTCAATGACAGGTAATTCTGAAAATGATTTTTCTTAATGAGGTCAGAATTTATGACTCAAAACTAATATATCAGAGATTCTGGGCTGACATCTGAGGGGGAAGGTTTTTACTAAGTGTGATGATGTTAGTTGTGACGCACAGACTGTATTACCTGGCAATGGGTCGGTTGTTCTTGGTGAAATCTATGAGGTGGATTGCGAACGGCATGGAGCAAACTGCCAGCACGTTCACAACTCTGAAGGCTGAAAACCTCACCTGCAGAACAACGCACAAACATGCACATGCACATATATTACTGTATCTATACTTTCCCATTAAAGGAGAATTCTTGTCTTTCAGTCTTTTATTATTTGGCCTTAGTGCTGCCAAGTTTATCTATAGCTAAGCCTCCTTTAAACTCTAGTTACTGCAGAAATATAAGCAAGTACAAGCCACGGAAAGCAGCTATTTAGATACAGATCTATTACACCCAACTACTTGACTGGCAGACCACAGTATGTGCGCTTGCAATGCTGTGTGTCAGACACAGTGGTCAGCAATACCGGGGCCCCGCAGGGGACTGTCCTCTCTCCCTTCCTCTTCACCCTCTACACCACGGACTATTGCACTGAGACCTGCCATCTTCAGAAGTTTTCTGATGACTCTGCTATAGTTGGATGTATCAGCAAGGGTGATGGAGGATGAATACAGGGCTGTTGTGGATAACTTTGTCACATGGTGTGAGCAGAACCATCTGCAGCTCAACGTGGCAAAGACAAAGGAACTGGCTGTGGATCTGAGGAGGACCAAGACACCGGTGACCCCTGTTTCCATCCAGGGGGTCAGTGTGGACATTGTAGAGGACTATAAGTACCTGGGGGTACACACTGACAATAAACTGGACTGGGTTAAGAACACTAACGCTCTCTACAGGAAGGGCCAGAGCCGTCTCTATGTTCTGAGGCAGCTGAGGTCCTTCAACATCTGCCGGACTATGCTCAGGATTTGCTATGAGTCTGTGGTGTCCAGTGCTATCCTCTATGCTGTTGTGTGCTGGGGCAGCAGGCTGAGGGGGGCCAGTGACGTCGTGGGAACGGAGTGTGACTCTCTGATGGTGGTATCAGAGAGGAGGATGCTGTCTAAGCTACAAACTATCTTGGACAATGTCTCACACCCACTCCACCATGTGCTGGTCAGGCACAAGAGTACTTTCAGTGGGAGACTCATACCACCTAAATGTACTACTGAGTGCCACAGGAAATCACTCCTGCCTGTGGCCATCAGACTATACAACTCCTCCCTCTGAGTGGCCGTGAGACTTTTTCACACACTGCAATAATCCAATGTAACTTGTGCAATAACCCCATTTCACCCTAACTGTATATATTTTGTTTGTGTAAGTAATCCTGTTCAGCTTACAATGTATATATATATATATATATATATATATATATATATATATGTATATATTAGTATTAGTATTTGTAAATTTGTAAATATGTAAATACTTTTGTTTAAATTTCTTATATTTTCATATATCTTTCCTCTTTTGCAAGGAGCACCTGTAACATAAATAATTTCCCCTCGGGGATCAATAAAGTATTTCTGATTCTGATTCTGATTGTTAGGTTTACGAGTCATGAGAGTTGACCTGGCTAAACCAAATGAGAAGTCAAAAGAATCTAGGGCTGAGTAATATATCAATATTATGCCCGGATGTGAGACTAGATATCATCTTAATTTTTGGATATTGTATGTAATATTGTGTGTGTTGTCTTTTCTTGTTATTCAAAGGGTAAATGGACCTGCACTTGTAGAGCACCTTTCTAGTTTTCCGACCATTCAAAAGCGCTTTAACACTACGTCTCACACACATTCACACACTGTAAGATTTTTCTACAAATCAATATATATACTTATACAAAGGTAATCCCTTTCAATCATCACTTTTGAGCCACTAGAGGTGTGTGACTGTGTATGTATCTGCCCTCTGCCTGTATTTGATCATTTTCTTCTTATTTAGCTGTGGTCAGGACGTTTCTCAGCATAGACTGCATCTGAGGTCGGAACTTTATAAAAAGGTAAGGATCAGGAGCCAGATCATAAGCAGGACGCATCCAAGATGGAGCTATGAAAAAATGATGGTCACAACACCGGAAAATCACAGATACAGCGAGGTGAAGCGCCAAGGGGACAAGGCTCGCTCCACATCAAGACTGAATCTGGGGTTGGCTTTCACTTTAACAGTAGCCAGCAATTCCTGCAAATTCTACCTTTACCTACACAATCTGAAATTCAATACCAACAACAGATATTAATTTTACATCTGCATTGATATTCTTTTTTTTTTTAACTTTATGTTCCAGTTATACTCACCTTGAAGCCCAGTTTCTGCAGAAGGCGTGCTAACCTGCGAGCACCCAGCTTTGCGTCATCCTCACTGAACAGAAGAGGGGAGCAAAAAGTGAGAGCCAGCAGAACAGTGGTAAACATACTGTGTGTACTTTGGCATGCAAAAGAGATGTAATAATGTAATACACAAACAGTAGCTGGCACCCTTAAGAGTAACTGTATGTTCAGGGCACCAAGAACTAAAGTCATCCCTGTGCTGGTTTGTGGTGGCTCATTTGCTCACTAGTTCTATTGTCAGCGTTGTATCTGTGACAGGTGAGACAAATGGTAATGCCTCTACTTTATTGGCAGCTGATGGGGATCTTGCTCAATAATTCACTTGTAGCCAACATTACAGCAGCAACAAGAGGGAGGCAAGACATCAGCAGCAAGCATTTCTCTCAACAGAGAAAATGCATGGCCCTTTGGAAACCGGCAACTCCATCTGTTAGGTTTTTTTATAAGTCCTCAGTGAGTTACTGGTTAATGTGAGTGTGTGTGACATGTTTCATGTGCAACACGTCTACCTTGTTGCTCCAGTGCAGATGATTTTCCCCGAAGACCAGATTGAGGCTGTTATCTTGGGCTTACGAAGCTTCATCAGGACTTTCTAAAAACAACAACGAAAAAGGGGTCAAACTTTGAATGCTCCCAGCATGGCCCACATCACAAAGCCTTAATATCACATCAAAGCTGCACATAATCAAAATATAGGTGAGCTGGTTTTTTTTATCTCTATATGATGTCCTTACCCCTACTTCCGGCTTATAGATGACATTAGTCCCCTCTAAGGCAATGGTGCGCAGGTTGAGGTGGCACCTGGTCCTGAAGGTTGCCACCACATTGGTGACAATGATATCAAGTGCCTCATCATTGCTGGAATCCATGAGGAAGTGTGCGGTGCAGCGGGAGGACCACAGGGGGGTTTCTCCTCACACATTCATCATCGACGCCACCATCACCACCACTTCACGGACGGACAGGAAGACAAGACGAGCTGGAGGTAAACAAGGCCCAGGAATTATTTGTATTTTGACTTTTGAAACTATGCCGTGTGACATTGCAGCATCATACAGCAACTTGAGTGCAAAGAGCGAAAAACAAGCTTTCCAAGATTGTCAACATTGCAGGGACGGTTACTGGCAAGTCACACAAACAACTCAGCAATATATCTGACAGTGCTGTACGCAGGAAGGCCAAACATATTACTGCAGATGCCTCTCATCCATTACATTCAGAGTTTGAGCAGCTCCCATCTGGGCATTGATTTAGGGTCCCATAAACCAGCCAGAACAAATATGAGAAGTCATTTATTCCCTGTGCCATACACGCAATGAACACAGACTGTATGACTGTACCAGGAAAGGCTATTATTTTCATAAGGTGTGCTATCTTTATCTATACATAAGCTATTGGTCCTACCCGCCTATTTGCACCATTGTATCATATTGCTAAATTGTACGTTTTTAATGGTGTGTTGTGTGTCTGTCTGTACCTTTGATATTTTGAGAGAAGCTAAAGACAAATTTCCACTGAGGTGAACAATAAAATTAACCATCGATCTATCTTTGCAAAATACCTTCTTCAATGTTTTTTAGCTTGCACATACAGTCAAATCAGCTAGCACACAGAGACAGTCCTTTAGTGCAAATGTGATAAAAGGTGCGTAGCACCAGTTCAACTATTTCTGCAGCTATGTGGTTCCTTCTACATGAGACATAAGAGAGTGCATAACAAAACAGGAAGCACACAGGCATCTGCAAGACATTAGAGTGATCTAAACATTTAGAAAAATTGACCTTTTAAATACACGTCTGTGCTATTGTGGCTATGAGTTAACGTTAGCCTGTCTGCTAGTGACAACAGCCTGATACGTTAGCTTCGCTCTGTTGCTACTAAAATAGCATGCAAGATAAAGAAAATGATTTAATGGATGCTAAACGTGACCACCTAAATGTGTTTAAACGTAAGGAAGAGCTCGCCGTAGTTTAGTCTAAAATATAAGGTTTGTTAGCGTTACAGCTGATCCATCCCTCATCCTAGTGTTGTGTTGCATAGTAACGCAACTGATAAGCTTGTTTAGGGAACTGTTGCTAAGCTAGCTAATCTCGCCGGTAGCCTAACAAACGGGCTGTCAACTATCATCCGCAAACTAATTCAGCATGACTGCATTAACTGACGTGTTATTATGGCTAGAATTACACTGATATAAACGACTAAAAATAAAAAGAAACGACAGCTCGCTACTGCCCGGCTACTGTTGTGAATAAAGCTAATCGTTAGCTAGCAACAAAGAAAGTGCACAGGCAGTAATGAATGAAAAGTTGTTAGCTAAGCTAGCTAGCAGGCTAGCTGTCTAACTGAGGACGATGTGGCCCCACTGTTTCCAGTTATGTTTGCGTGTTAATGCAGATGTGTGTATCTGAGATGTGTGCTTTAATTCTTTAGCTACCTCTTCAGCTAGCTCACAGCTGTGACCCCCGAGACATAAACAGTCCAGTGACGGTGTTTTTTTGTGGACAGACTCCTTCCTCTGCGTACTACTGACCGACTAGCGAAGCGACTTCCTGTTTCAGCTTTCAAAATAAAACCAGGTGACCTAGTGAACTTCAAAATAGCTTCAACTTCCGGTTACAACTTTCAAAACACAACGATAAAAACATTTATTATTATCAGATTTCGAGAAGAAGGTGTTATAAACATTATTCTTAAAAAGGGGGAGATGATAATAATAATAATATTTATTGTCTCTAATCATTTTTAATAATTCTTTAATTGTATTAATTATAGCAATACAAATAAAACCCTAAAACAAATAAAAATACACTTAAAATCCTAACTAAAAGCTTGAGGTAAAAGATACATTTTTAGTTTGCTTAAAAAAACACTTACATCAGACCATAGTTCAGGTGGAAGAGAATTCCAGAGAGTAGGACCATAATGAAAAGCACCATGAGCTGATTGAGACTTGATTTTAGGTACAATGAGTAGACCTTTATTTGATGATCTAAGGGATTTCTCTGGTGGTGTGCAGGCTACTCTGTGAAGATCAGGAGATTTTTTTTTTGTATAGTTTTTTAATTCTTAATTAATTCTATTAATTCTAATAAGTGGAGAGAGAGATGTCTCTATGTTTATGTATATGTCACTAGTTGCGTATATGTTAATATAGTTTTGTATGTGTTACACATTTTTCTATGTGGTTATGTTCATGTGCATACTTTGTATTTGTTTATTTTAGCACACTTTTCAAAAAATATATTTCAAAAGTTTTGTGACAGTGTTTTACAGTATATGTATTTTTTCCTCAGCTTTTACATTCTTATATATTTTGCTAATGTTCATTATTGTTTTACAGCCCTTTGCAAGATGCTTTTTGATATCTGGCTATAATAGACTTCTACTTGACTTGACATGTCTCCAGCTGACATGTAGTTAACTGCATTAAAGCCTGTGAAACTGCTTTTATAACACGGTTAAAGGGCTCCCAGTAGCTCAGTGGGTAAAGCGGGCATCCAATGTGCAAAAGCAATGTCCTTGCTGCAGTGGCTCTGGGTTCGATTCAAGCCTGCGGCCCTTTGCTGTGTGTCATACCCCCTCCTCTCCCTTCACATTTACTACTGTCCTATCAAATAAAGGCAAAAAGCCCCAAAAGTAATCTTAAAATAAATAAATAACTAGTTAAAATGAATTGCAAAGAAAAATCCTAATTAACCATAAACTGTTCATGTGATAAAACAGACCCTTCACTGAGATCAAGAACATAATTACTGTAATATTTCTGGCTGCCTGCACAGATGGCCTTGAACAGCAACCAGTGAGTTAAAGTTGGTAACTTGCGCCACCATGTGGACACTGACAGCTGTTTTAGTGGGAAAGAAATATATTCTTTGACATAATTTGAAACAAGAAAAGCTCAGTTTTCTACACCATGTCCTGCAGCATGAGCTAATAATTTTAACATCTTATAAATGATGTTTGAGCCATTAATAGTATAATTTGCATGTCCACGTAAGAGTTAAAATGCTTATTGACTGCAGCCAAATTCTGTGTCCACAGATCTGCCTTTGTGATCATCAGCGTCTGCCAATATAACACTTAACAGTCTTATGTTAACACACTTCCCAGCTAACAATGTGTTACTTTCTTTCAGTGTTTATGGAGTATTGACATTTAAGCTGCATGGATTAGAACATCTCCGAGGAAAATGAGCACATCTGGTCAGTAAACGCTCCTCGGGGAATTCTGGACAGGCTACAAAAGAGGAGAAGGAGTAAAGTTTGGAGGCGGTTGGGAATGTTTGTGTTATCAATGAGAGAGTTCACAGCCGCTCCCGTGGCTCATGAATGAATTCGGTGAATGGATGCTGTCCTGAGGTGTCTGCGCACTGTCACATCCTGCTGTGATGGTGACCTTTAGGTGGACTGGTCATGACTTTACGATATTTTGTGCTTGTAAAAGTTACTTGAGCTCGTTTGCTCTTCTTTGTGTAGCTTTGCACAACACTGCACAAGAGTTAAACTGCTAAGAATGATCATCTTTATGAAATAATGTTGCTCAAACTAAACACAGATTTCTGTGCATGAGTCTGAGTGTGTATGTGTGCACATTTGCGTGTTAATATCCATGACTTATTGCTTGCATATACACATTTATGCATTGTGTCCTGTAACCCAGCTCTTCCACTTGGACCGCTGCAAACACTTCTGTCTCTTGGCCTGCGCCCAAACAAAACAGAAAAATAACTTCTTTATGATTCAGCCTTGTTGTTATTGTTCTTCCTCCCTGGTTACCAAATTGTCTCTTCCCCCCCTCTCGTTTAATCCTCCTGGGCTTCTCCTGGTGAAATATAGCCTTGTAATTCACATCCATTCTGCACAAGAGCCTTGTTCGGATGTCCCAAGATGTTTACTATAAAGGTTTAGATTTAGAGCAGGTTAGGAAAAGTCAGACCACTAGCATTGATGGCGTGAGTATGTTTGTGTGTGTGTGTGTGTGTGTGTGTGTGTGTGTGTGTGTGTGTGTTTCGAAGCGGCTGACGCAGGGCGCAGGAGTATGTTTACAGTTTGTTGGGCTGCACATCACTGGGGCAGTCTCTTCCCAGGGGAACAATGCTCTTATTCTCATTAGGTCATAAGATGCGGCATGTAAACACACAGATGTGAGCACTTACGGCTTAATAGATGCAGATATGTCTAAGAATAAATAGACGGTCCATCACTGTAACTACTCTGTGTGTGTGTGTGTGTGTGTGTGTGTGTGTCAAAGAGAGAGTGACTGAGGCAAAGTGAGAGATAAATCATTTTTTCATGCTTCTGGGAAATTTATGTACTTGTGTGCCTGCATGTGTGTGCATATGAATATGTGTATGCGTGTGTGTGTGTGTGTGTATCACAAGCAGCAACCTCTGGGGCTAAAAAACAAAGCCAACGTGGAAATGCCAAAAACTACAGCTCATCAAATGGTCACTTGAGGTTGGCTCAGTAAATGAGTCAATCCACATTTTAAAAATGTCCAACTTTACATTAGAATTAAACATATTTACAGCCTAATAAAAAATACGGTTAAGGTCTCTATAGCTAATTTTCCCAATCATGAGAACTGTAGTAACACATTCTCACTCTGACCCTGTCACATATTAACGTTTGGTTATGGACCAAAATGTCCTGATGCAAGGTACCCTGGGTGCATCGGTTGTTGATGTTCTGGGACACTGTGTCAAGTTCTGCCTGTTACATGTATTGTCTTCTTTCAAAATGCATTTCCGTTTTCACAAGAAATTTGTCGTTTACATGCAGTCTCTTTCAAAATAAACGTACTATATCAATACAACAATGCGAATTGACTTTTTTTTTCTCCAACAAGTAATGCATGTGGTTGGGTTTAGGCAACAAAAGCAACTGATTAGATTTAGGAAAAAAGAACAGGGTTTGGCTTTACATTCTTACGGGACACAAACACTGCTCTCCCGGGTGAAGGTCGGTGTTTGTTGGACCCTTCACTGCCACTCCCACGAGCCCTACTCACACTTTCGGCACCTTAACTTTTGTTCTTTGACCAGCCATATATTATGCCAACGTTAAAGGACAGCTTTTTTTTGTCAGTGTCTGACGCCCTGAGTCACTGCCCAAGCACCAGATTTTGAAGACTTCACAGTGACACCAGGTTTTTAAGGCTTAAATTTACACATATTTAAGGGTGAGGCAGCTTGAGTGAAAGGATGTCTGCAAGGCGTCACCACAGTCTATAGCCCCTTTTACAGTGCCTTTTCAAGACGGTAATTTCACGCTGTTATTCCGCCTCGCAGTTCTGTATAAAAGGTACAGTCGCAGAGGAGACAGAGTTGTCCCGCCTTTGAGCCGAGAATAGGGGTAGAAAAAGGGAGCTGACAAAAACAGTCAAAGTTAAAAGGGTAGGTGTAATAAGCTAAGGCTTCAGCCTCCACCTTTTCAGTCTTTTGTTTGTGATTTTGTTTTATGCTAAAAAATTAACTTAATGTTTATGTGTTGTCTATAACAGTATATTTGAGCTTTATAAGTTGGAAAATGACCAAAATAAACTTAACTAAACTAAATGATCTCTGTCTTAATCGGACAGCCAGCAGGTTTGGATCGTGGGCAGCATGGGTTTGATGTTTTGGCAACATGTTGCATGTGTGACCCACCACAAGAGGATTAAAACTGGTTGTTAGCAGTTAGCAGCTAACTCAAAGAAGAATAACAATGGCCGAAAATGTCCTCAAATTGGGAAAACAATAAGGTCCATGTGCTCCTAACCCTCCAAGCAGAGGATGAGATCAGTCCCCATACAACAAGAATGGTAACTGATGTTAATGCCATTGCTACTGTTTAGAAAGCGCCCCTGATGCGTATGTTATGTCACACCAGAGGCCGACACTGTTTTGTTACTTGTCACACCCTTCACACCTCTTTTACTTCCATGATGTCCATGTTATCTAAAATCACACACTGGAGCAGCATGATGCTGCGGTCCTTTGGTGCTGTGTAAAAATGCAAAGGCAGCACAAAGAGGGGACTTATTAGTGGCACTAAAGGGCTTATGAATCAGATCCACCCCTCATTCCTGCACAGCTCCACCCCATAGGTGTATAATAATAACTAGATGCCATAACCCAAGACGGCATTGATTCAGTCCAATTGAGTTGCTCGGTTGGCGCATACACCAAAAAAAGCTTCTAGCTTCTGAGTTTACTGAATATACACAATAGTCGTAAGTGCTATGTCGTAGGCAACTGGACTTGCTTGCATTTCTCGAAGATGTTTTGCCTCTCATCCAAGAGCTTACAATTACCATGACCTGGATGACTGAGAATCTTCACTGACAACATACACAATAGTGTTTCTCCCGCTAGCCACACCCGCAAGTTCCCACTTGGCTCACAGACTTTATATTGTGATGACATCACAGGTTTTTAAACACTTTTCTTGGCTTGAGGAAAGTTTTACGATCCTATCCACCTTATTTTCAAACACGGAAGTAAATAGTGATCAACTTCCGTTTTTTTGTGCGTGACTTCCGGTCAGCCGCTTTCCCTC